GACGATCGATGAAATAAAACAGTATAGTGACGTGCCTAGTAATCTGCTAAATAACGTCAAAATCTAGTTTGTCCAGCAACAGTGTACAAACGTGCGCCGGTGTCGGTGACGATCACGGTGACCAGCTACACCAGAACGGACATATTTCGCATCTAACTCAACCCCATGCAACAAAAATTGATAATATGTGTTCATTATGGTCCATTCTTCCTCGACAAACAAGTACATAAGTGACAATTCAGACAAAGATGAGAAAACAGCACAAGAAATTTGCCTTATTTACACGTATCGGCAATGCAAGCTGCCATGCGACTTCCCCTTCTGACGTCACAAGGGGAATTTCTGTATGCAAATGAGAAGCTAATGAGGAGCCTCGTTTTAAAATACACAAAAATAAAGTTGCCATAGACTAAGTTTAAAACACATTTTTTCACTTAAAAAAAATAATTCATGCTTAGAAACATAAAAATTAATAATATTTATGTATCAATTGATAATTTTAGGCGTGAAAATAGCAGCCATTTCACAGGCACTTTAATGCTCTCTATTTATTAATAGGTTGAAATACCTCTGAACAATTTTAACCCTAAGTGTACTGTCCCTATAATATTGGATTTAATAACGATTGAGATTAATATTCTCATGCCTCGTGTTTTCGCGTAATTGTTATAATATTTTTTGAAAGACGGGCAATATTATTATTGTAACAATTTGCCACGGCTATATTACCTACAAATAACTAGTTAATGGTTTTAATGCCAAATATGTTTTTTAGGCTAAATTGTACACTTCGGGCACACAGGTGATAGCAATTGGCAATGTTTCCTATTTTGATTGTGTTCAAGGTAATGCATCTGTTGAAGTCTTGACGTTGAAAATTAGGAAATTCGAATTTTCTAATCCTACTTTCACATGTACTTTCGTCTATTTCTGCATCATGATATTGTAACTTCAACTTAGTGATAACCAAATACTAGTATTCCTTTTTTTCTGTCAATGACATGATCCAATAATTTAATTCCACTTCGCATTGGTTGTCTGCTAATTCTATTGTTTACACTTCTACAATCATTGATTATCGTGCTAACCAGATAATTGAACTGTTCTTCGTGGTTGGTGTCACCTCTGTGGGTTGTTTATTTCAAGACATATTAGTCATTTTTTTAACCTAATGACAATGAGAGAATAATTGTTTTGTGATCAAAGCCGGGGATCAAAGACGTTATCTAAAGATTATCTCAACGTGATCACATGGATTGTTACATTGTAACATTGTCATACGCTTATCAACGATTTGACCTGTTATTCACTGCCTCTGGCAAAGACTGGTGCGATTAGATGTGATATATTCAACCTCGTTTGTTTCCTTTCTTACACTGTCACGCACTTCTTCATATACAAGTAAATTATACATGTACAGAACAACAAAAACAAAATAAGATATCAAAGAAAAAAATCGTGCTCTGTGTGACTTTACTTTAGAAAGGAAAATATTACAAATTTTCGAGAAAAACAAAGGTTTCATTCACTTTAATTCGACTAGAACTCTTAAATAAGTTTCAAATTCATAAAAGAATTTACTATCCAAAACGAAAGTTAATCGTTTAATTACAATATCCGTATTCAGAAATGAATAGTGTATTCAAGATACAATGAATTGTTATTTTACGATCAGCTATAACAATACAAGCCGTTGGTAACTCGTCAGTTATCTAAGGACAGATTGATAGAATCTAGCGATTCACTACGTAAGAAGCAGGGGACACACAATAGAACATATGTAGTGGCCATGTCAACTTCTACTGCTTCCAATAATTCAAATACTGTTAATGACTAGGAATTTGGCAATGGCCTTTAATATCATAGGGAGTGATACTGAACTAAAGTTTTTAGTATGGAATGTAAATAGCTTAATAGCTTAATAGGAAAGTTGGCTGATCATGATTTTTTTGATTATTTAAAATCATTTGACTGTGTTTGTTTGGTAGAAACTTGGGTGAGTACCATATTTGATTTTAAGATTGAAGGGTATGAGGAACTACATGTTAGTGGTCTAAAAATGAAACGAAATATGGAAGAGCCTCTGGTGGAATTTCTGTGTGTGTGGTTTTTTTTTCGTAAAAAGAACATAAAATATGACTTTCAGTTGTGCATTTGTAGACTATAAGAAGGCCTTCGATAGGGTACATCATTGCTCAAATTATCGAAGACCGGTCTCAAAGGCAAATTGTATCTTTATATTCAATGTACCAGTATGTGAAAGGCAGCAGTGGAAACTCCCTAGGGATAATTAACTACTTTAATATTACCGGTAGTATGGGGTTGCAACAGGGCTCTGTGATTTCATCTCTTTTATTTTGTTTCTATATTAATGACCTTCATATAACTTTTCGACAAGGTCATGAAACTGTAGTTTACCTGTGTGCTTTGTGTTATCTATTGTATGCTGATGACATGGCTCTGTTTAGTAGTACACCTGCTCGTTTACAACGATTATTGAATAATATATAGACTATTGTTCAAAGTGTGGACTTACAGTGAACCTTAAGAAACTAAAATTATTGTTTTTCGGAAAGGGGTCGCTTAAAAAACAGTAAAAATGTTTTTGGAAGGTAAAAGCATTGAAATTGTTTCAAAATACAATTCTTGGAGGTTACGTTCCAGTTCTGGAAAATGGTATCAGGCACAAAAATATGTTTCTGAACAGGATAGTAAAGCACTTTTTGAAGAAAAAAGTTACAGAATCTGGGTGGTGTGCCACCTAATGTTGCTTTCCGTATATTTGATTGTAAAATCCTCTCAGTTCTTCTCCACGGTAGTGCTTTTTTGGGGGGTACACATTCTGATATGAATGATGTTGAAATTTTGTAAATATCTACTAAGCGTTAGTTTTGTTGCCACTAATTCCGCTGTTAGGAAAGAATTGGGACGACATTAACTTAGTATGTAAATGTTGAAATTATTTGTTTTTGGTTAAAATTGATAAGTGATAAGTGTTTCTCCACATATTTTAAAAGAATCGTATAAATTTCAACTTAGTATCCGCTCCTGCCATATTATCTGCTGGGCATTGACAGGTAAAAATCTTCTCTATAAATATAGTTTAGGACATATTTGGATTGACCAATATGTAAGTAAAAACAAAATATGTAAGTAATTCTGGTGTATTCTTGGAACTGTTTAAACAAAGGTATTTTGATATTTTGGGCAGGATTTGAGTTCTGAAATTAATAGAAGTCCTAAACTTATTGTAAGGTGAAACGTGAATTAACGTATCTCACAAAAATTGGTCAATATACAGAAATGCTTTATGTAGATTAAGGATCTCGTCCCATGCACTTCAAACTGAAAAGGGTAGGGCCAGTGGTACTTTTGGCTGTAATGTAATTGAGGACGAATACCACTTTACATTAGTATTGTCCCAACTATAACTCCCTAAGGTTGAAGTTTATTGCACAGTATTATTAATTCACACCTACAGAGATAAAGTTTATTTCATTATTTCAGAATCAACCCCCATATATACAATTAAACCTTGGTAAATGTATATTTTATAGCTTTTAAGTACCACAACTTATACTTGGAGGGAACACTTAATTATTCCCATTTTATGTATTATTATTTTATAGTTGTTTTCTTTACTCATTAATTTATTATGTATTTATTTGTATCTGTACATATGGCCAATGGTCACAGTACGAAATATTATTATTACTACAATACAATTCAGATACATAGTAAAAATGGTTGGAATAAGTAACGTTAATGTCATTGCAGTCAATAAGATAATTAATAATGTGCTAGGGTGCTTGATTAGCTTATATAATAAATAGGCCGTGCATTTACTACACACTCCAGCATTGTAATATTTAGCCACTTAGCCAAAGACACATGGACTCGTTATATGTTAGTATAGTCGAAAGTGGTAACTCACTAGCTTTAAAGTCTCCAACGTGCGATGCTTTATTATTCCCAATGTGCAGTCAATTAAATAATTGTCACCAGTGGTATACCCGGGGTCACTTAATGCAAACCACATTATACGTGCCGCCCTATGCGGTCGTAATTTTTAGCTGTTTGATCTAGAATAGGGGTATAGATTTGCGACATGTTATGTATAGTTAGCAATAATAACACTAACAACAATAACATATCACAAAAGTAATGGGTGTCGGTTCCCAATGTCGGAGTAAATTGATAATTATATTTAGATATGCATACTACATATGTATCTTATCAATTTGTTTCCATGGCAATTGATGGATTACAGCGACCTATGCTGAGTTAAAACACAACTCACTTATAATAGTCGATGAAAAAACCAGTAAACAATATGCTTATTTTAATTGTTTGTACAATCTCATTTTAATAATCCTTCTTCTTAGTGGTCCATTTTTGAAAATTAAATATTCGTAGTTGTATTTTTTCAGCAGATCGGATTGCAAAATTGCATACAATTAGTGGATTTGTTTTCACAAACAGACAACATACATCGTAACAACTTTAGCTCCCATCTCTGCAGCCCAGCATGTAGCGCTGTACTCTAACCCAACAAGTGTAGGGGTAAATAATGCTCATCGACTGTTAATTATCTCCAATCACGTGATTTATCTTTCAGGAATAAAATACCAGCATTTTTACTTGAGCACACTTAAAACTCACTGATGTTTTCATTCATTTTTTTGTGTGTTTTGCAACATGTAATCAAGGTCACCCCAAAGTCTAGTGAATACAATTTATAGAGGTGCTAAATGATGTGAATTTGGGGGGAATATAATCACAGACAGGTTCTGGGGATTTCTTCACTTAAAGCACGGTGGTCGTCGCGCTACGCATGTGCGACATATGTGTTGATAAACATTGATTTTCCCACAATCCAGTGCGCTCTTCAAATGAAAATCTCAAGTATGAGGGTTGACCTTGGCGTGACTTGCACTGAATATCACCAGTGACTCCTTCGATACCTTCCAATCACCTAAAAATTACCCAATTAAAGCTTGGAAACGTCTCAGTTTGTACTTTTGATCTGAGCGACAGTCAAAGTCGCCATCTTGTATATATAAGATAAGATAAGATAACTTTATTGACATTATTCTTTCTATAGAAGATGAACATAGTCAAGTAAAATAAAAAAAGTAAAGAGGTTAATCAAAAAATTAAAATAACAGATTAATTAAAAGGCAATTACAAGGTAGTACAGAATCAGGTGTTTTATTAATACACACCTGTTTGCATTATAAACACATCAAGCTTAATGTGGCAGTTTGTCATAATGTAAATAAATTTATCGGGATGATCCATTGAAGTAAAATTAGTATTATCCTTATGTAAGTCTGTAAACAGTATCTGCCTCATTTTATTGTGCTGTGGACAGTCCATAATGTAATGGTACTCATCCTCGACTGAGTTATTGTCACATCTTGTGCAGATTCTGTGTTCCAGTTTTGTTTTTGGTCTAGTATACCTCCCTTTCTCAATCATAAGCTGATGGTCACTAATTCTTAATTTACAAATATATTTTCCATATTTTGAATTATTCACATCCATCAAATACAT